ACTCTTTGAGAATAACAATAAATCATTTAAACAAAGATAAATGAGATTTGAAGTTTTGAACTATTCTTGTTCAGTCATTCAGTATTATCACAACCATTCTCGTATCCATTTAACAATATACAACCTTAATTTTACCATGAAGAAGAGGAAATAAAAGGAGAAGAGACGACTCAAACGAGAAAAAAATTGGTTTGAAATGAATGGTGGTTCCTTTTCCTTTCATATTAAAAAAAAAATTCAAAAATTTTTTTTTGTGGGGGGAGGGGGGGTAGGCCACCCCCAAGGTCTGCCCCTGCAAGCAAGCATCCAAAAAAATCGAAACAACTACACTAATAATACATTCAGCCATTTTTGATGGTCATTATTTGAAAAAATAGAGTTTTGAACAGTGATTTTTTAGAGTATAACTGATTAAAAAGTTAAAAAAAAAAAATTTGAATTTACGTGCAAAATATTTATTGTATAAATCTGTGGTTGAAAATAAGTATAAGAATTAAAGAATTTTATTTTAAAGTTTATCAAACAATGGCTCAGCCCTATGTAGAGATTAAGATCTAAATTTTAATCTAAGTCAAAATAAATTTTATCCATGTATTTTATGGGATTTATAATTTCCACCAAACAGGGGCTTAATTAATGACGACTCACATTTTGATAAAAAAATATCTACATTAATGCAGTCTTCTCTAAAATGAAAAGTAAGAAATTTGGAATATTTTTTAATTTCTTTCATATTCATTACTTTGTTATGTATATTGGAGTAATGGAGTCATTATTTTATATTAGGTATATAATATATTAATATTTATATAGTTTCTTGAAGAAAAGAAAGAAAGAAATTTTTTTTATTAATTTATTCATATCATTTACTGAGTTAAAAAATATACTTGCTTAACCTGAATCGTTTTCAAGGAAAATTTCATATTTTTTTACTGAGTTAAACAAATTAATTCCAATTACTTCTTTTTAGAACACATTTTGTGGATCCTACTAGTGGAAAGACAAATATTATCCGTGCGGAATTGTTTCTCTCCCTCTTTTCATATCCTTAAAGAAACATGTGCACATTAATTGTTGGGAAAAGTCGAGCCGGGTGGGATTCGAACAAAACCATTTATAGAGACGCATCGTCGTAAATTTTGAAAACGACATTTGAAAATTTTAGTTAATACTCAACTTCTCTACTAGTTTCATTAGTACAAGCAACAATAATAACTTAAAAGCGGCCAATTTCTCCATTGTACGACTTCTGTCTTATAAAAGACTTTATGATATTTTCAGATTTTTAGTTCTTATGACTTTCGATCCAAAATTTTCCCGTTGGGCTACTAACGCAGTGTGCTGAACGTGATTCTCCTTTTATTGGGATTTCAGTAAGCTACAAAAGATTCAGTATGCTAAGCTCGAAAGTTGCAGCTGCCTAACATGATCTGATAAATATATAGGATACAGAAGCTGAAAAATGGAGGAAACAATTAATTCTTGCTTTTATTTTCAATTTATAAAACATTTTGCCATTTACCGGTGATGGTCTATAAATCCATAACTCGATATCCTGCCACTTGTGTACAAAAGAAAACCAGTAAAAATACTGGATTACAGTTAAAAGAAAAAGTCACAAGTACTGCAACCTTCATTTCCAGTTCTTTCACCAGTTTTCTAATGATCAGTGTGAAGCATCTTACTTGTCCTATGATACATAGAAATCAATATTTAAAAAGTACAAACTAAACTCAACAAGCGGGGATAGCTCAGTTGGGAGAGCGTCAGACTGAAGATCTGAAGGTCACGTGTTCGATCCACGTTCACCGCAAATGAAAGACTTTTTATATCTTTTTTATTGGACTAAGCCCATACTATATGTTCTAATGGGCCACAAAGCGGTACATTACACAGCCCATGAAAAATCTGATAAAACAAAGGGCAACTTACAAAAATACATTTAAAATTATCAATCTTTTGAAAAATCACAAGAAAAATTTTGTAGAAGTAAAAAATACTGTCTAATATTAAAAAATAACACAATGTCACTTTTAATAGTTAAATTGTCACTTTTTATTAAAAAAAAAAAAAGACATACAATGTCACTTTTATTAAAAAGTGATATTTGACACTAAAAAATGTAATATAAATTAAAAAGGTAACTGAAAAAAGTGACAAACACAGAAAAGTGGCAAAAATTTAAAAAGTGACAAAAATTTTAAAAAGTGACAAATTCAAAAAAGTGACACAAATTAAACAAGTGACAATTTTTTTTTTAAAAGAGTGACACATAAAAAAAAAGTGACAGAAAATTAAAAAAGTGACAAATCATAACCTGCGATTTTTAATATAGCCAAATTATCCAATAAGTTCACAACTGATGAACAAATTAAAAACTTTTGAACTAACAACTTGAACAAGATAATCATAACCCAAAATTTTAAATGCAACCAAGTTTCCAATAAACTCACAACTAATGAAAATTGATTATTATACTAAGATGTAATCGTCAAAAAATTGTATAAGCACTAATCACTTTAAAAGTGACACACTATTAAAAAAAGTGACAAACACTTATAAAAGTGATATGAATTCAAAAAGAATTATACTAGATGTACACCCGGTGGTTTACACACGGGGTTACACCCCCTCACATGAAGGGAGGCTTACGAATATTTTATTGTGTGTGTTCCCCCCCTCCATGTGAGGGGGGTGTAATCCAATATGTAAATGATTGTATACATCTAACATAATTCATTCAAAAAAGTGACACAAATTTAAAAAAGTTACACAGATTAAAAAAGTAACAATTTTTTTAAAAAAAAGAGTGACACATAAAAAAAATATAAGCTCACAACTAATGAAAATTGATTACTATACTAAGATGTAATCGTCAATAAATTGTATAAACACTAATCACTTTAAAAGTGACACACTATTAAAAAAAGTGACAAACACTTATAAAAGTGATATGAATTCAAAAAGGATTATACTAGATGTACACCTGTTGGTTTACACAAGGGGTTACACCCTCTCACATGAAGGGAGGCCTACAAATATTTTATTGTGTGTGTTCCCCCCTCCATGTGAGGGGGGTGTAATCCAATGTGTAAATGATTGTATACGTCTAGCATAATTCATTCAAAAAAGTGACACAAATTAAAAAAAGTTACACAGATTAAAAAAGTGACAATTTTTTTTTAAAAAAAAGTGACAGAAAATTAAAAAAAATTGACAAATCATAACCAACAATTTTTAATATAGCCAAAATATCCAATAAGTTTACAACTGATGAACAAATTAAAAACTTTTGAACTAACAACTTGAACAAGATAATCATAATCCAAAAATTTGAATACAACCAAGTTTCCAATAAGCTCACAACTAATGAAAATTGATGACTATACTAAGATGTAATCGTCAAAAAATTGTATAAACACTCTTCATTGTAAAAGTGACACACTATTAAAAAAAGTGACAAACACTTATAAAAGTGACATGAATTAAAAAAAGTGACAAAACCTCAAAAAGTAACACATCAATCAAAACCTTAAAATATATCATTTTATTAGTTCATCCTTAGCTGAATTTGAATATTTTGTTTAAAATTTGGCAGACTCAAGATCGGTTGAAGCAACTTTAACATACTGATTTCAATGTTTCTGAATAAAGTCAATAATATCCTCCTTTGTTTGCTTTCCTTCATACTGCTTCAAGTCACCATTTGTAGATCTGAAGTACATACTAGGGTATCCTTTAACTTCGAAGGTGCCAACAAACATGTAAGTATTGCCTCGGGATCCTCATCATGATCAAGTATATTGACTGAACAGCATAAAGAAATAGAACCAAAAGAATGTACTCAGATTGATCATAAGAATCCTAACATGAAACTACACCGAAGAATGGAAATGCTAAGTTCATTTCCTACTTGTAAGAACCAAATAATTGAAGGTGAAATGTCTTTGGAAGGTAAGCAAGTACGTAAAGATAAAAGAATAGATGCACTTGTACATACAGATGAATTCGAAGGAAACATCTCAGAAAAAAGTACTCTAACAAATGTTGCTTCAAGTGAAGGGAAGGCAGAAGCTATGGAGACGTTACTTGAACGTTGTGAGCAACTATTGGAATGAGAAAGGCTCGAGGAACTTGCTGGCGTGCTGAAACCATTCGGGGAAGAAGACGTTGTATCGTCGAGAGAAAAAGTGTTATGGGATTTTATTTTTTTTTTGAGAAGAAAATGGAACTTCACCATCATATCTGGTATCCATGTATGATTATCATATAATTGGTCCTCCAATAAACACAATATTCCATGAGAAATGTAGAAAAAAAAGTACAAAAGGTAAGGGAAGTTAACAACCTCAACACGAGTTGCCAAGACTAAAAGATATTGAATAGCTTCAATAAACACACCGGCTTGGCTTTGACTAGACCAACAGCAAAAATAGCTTGTTCCTCCTCGCTATATTCAGGACATTGACCATCCTTCACAGGGGTGAGTGGAATAAGGATGACTGGCGTATCTAGAAGCTTCCAAGGATTCTTCGAGGTCGAGCTGGTGGCCATTTCCCTACCAATGCGGTCGCGATGACAATTCTAGCATTTACGATGTCACGAATCAATATTTCATTTTTCCAAGCCATCACAAATCAATTGATTCAATCTTTATTACTTGAAACCCCCTAGATTTAGTAATTTTGTAGAGGAAATACCTTAAGGGCTCGAAATTTGAGGATAATATTAAAGCCCTAGAGCGGACGGAGAGAATTTACAGTAGTGCATAATTGAATAGGTAAAAGAAGTGAAATTTTGGACATTGTTCCCTCAATCAACAATCTGGTTGACAAAAGGATTGACGAATATTCAAGACAAGGTGAAAGTGGGACTTTCGGGAGTTTTGGGGATTTTGGGGGGTTTTGACGTATTAATTACGGGATTAAGGAGTTTAATTAGTTTTAAGGTTATTATTCTAATTTTTTATTTTTGAAGGGTAAGGAGCCTAATTTCCTCTAAAACAAATTAGGGAAAAATTTCGTGGGCCTGCCCCACCCCACCAATGTATTTCATTATCCTTTAGGTTATCAGTTATCTCTCTCTAGCATTGCAAGAGAGGGCAAATGGTCAAGACTGATGGGCATGCATCCTAAATTTCCCTCGTTTATCACTCACGAGCTTCGATGGCGACATAGTTGCTTTCTCGATCTGACCCCATCATCCCACTAGCATAATGCAAATCACACCCCCAAAAAAATGGTCAACACCTTTATCCTACCCCATCTCACCCCAACCTACACCGTAAAAGATATTTTATTATTCTTTAGGCTCTTTCTTTCACTAGTATGAAAGAGAGAGCAATATGGTCAAGACTGATGGGCTTGCATCCCAAATTTTCCCCGTTAACACTCGCGACCTTTATTGGTGATGGAGTTGCTCTCCTAATCAGACCCTGACATCCCATTAGCCTCACAACATCACACCCCCAAAATTTGTCAATTGGCAGTGATATTAGGTGAAAACCCTAGTGCCATCAGCCCATTCGAAGGGCCACACTGAGGTTGTGGCCTCCCAGAGGCCAACCCACCTTTTTCAAGGTGATCATTTCCACGGGACAACATCATCAAACAAGTTGTTGGAGTTTCTTGGGAATCATGCCATCAATAACCTTCAGTTTGACTCCGACGCCATCTAAATTAGCTGAAAATGTTATAAAAAACCATTAGGTTATTGCCCCCATACTTGTGGATTGAGGGGTAGGTGGTGCATTGGAGGTTGACGGTAGTTGTGCTTTGCAGGTGTAGCGATAGCTGTGGTAGTGCATCGCAAGTTGTGGTGCAAGTGATAGGTTGTGGATCCTGGGCGATAACAACGATTTTAGCGTTAACGATGGTGGAGTGGGGTGGGTGAGATGTGGAAGATGAAGAGTAATTTGTAACCAATTAATTGGATACTTATAACCAGTTAATTTGATAATTTGTGATCGGTAAATAAGTTGTAACCTATAAAATTATGTGATTTGTGACCCATATTTTATATATTTGTAATTGTGATGTTGTATGATTTATTACTAATACTTAATTGTGGCCTTAACTCATCGAATCAATAATCTGGTTAAAAATTTCTTAAATTCGAAAGTGTATATTGAAATTATGGTAATTATGCATTTTTTTTTACAAAATTATAACATACTGGGAAACAGTGGCGGACCCATCACCCGGTAAGGGGGACGCTGCCGCATGTGCTGGGCTCCATCGGAACAGTGCCAAATCGGAGGGAAAGAGGGAGATCGACACCGACGTGGGAGAGGTTTGGATTTTGCTTCTTCTGGTTGCTGGTTCGTCTTCTTCATCCCCCTCCCCCCTTGTGGCTTTGTTTTTTTTTTTTTTGTAATTGGGCATTTTGTTGGGCGATCCGTCTTCCTTTTTATTTTCTTTGGTAATTGGGCCTTTTGTTGATTTGTTGGAGATATAGATAGATAGGTATTTCACTTTTGAGGAAGAAAAATTTACTAGGGCTATCGAGGAATTTTTTAAGATAAAAAGTTTTAATCCTTGCAAGCGATTGAGTTTAACTAGGGCTATTGAGGAATTTACTAGCGTCTAGATAAAAAGTTTCTTGTAGTGTGTAAAAATATGTACCAGTGATTGAGTTTAACATGGTTGCGGAATCAGGTAAACAATTGCTTCATTTGGTGAAGGATATGCAACGAGGTCTCATGAAGAACGTTTTGGAGGAATTTATAGAGGAAACCAGTCTATTTCTAAGGAGGACGAGGAGAAAATTATTCATGGCAATGTCCCAGGTATGTTCTCCTTTCTTTCTTCAATCATCAACCTCTAGACACGCCTTATCATATTCATATTCGATTATTGTCTGTGTCAAATTAAAATCTAAATTTGAAATAATTAATTTTAATTACATATCTAATGAATGCACATTTTTTCAACCATCACAGATTTCATGAAATCTGTAAATCTTCAATCACATATTTTATCAATTTCTATCACAATATACTATAAATTTTATTTTAATCCATACCATACAAGGCTATACTTATAAAACGTTTTGAGCTTCAATATTGGGTCCGTCACTGTTGGAAAGATGTATTCCTCGTAAAATAATTTAACAGGTGTATAAATAGAATTCATTAACGGGAAGCAAATTCAAATTAGCCCTTGTTTGGTGAAAATACAAATTTTAATTTTAATTTAAATCAAGGTTAACAATTAAATTTAACCATACGTTCATGGGATCCATAGACTTTTTCAACTATATATTTCATCAACTTTTATTAAAATTTACTAAAAATCCGATTTTAATTACCAGGGCTAAGAACTTAAAATATTAAAAATTATTTAAGAATAATAGTGCTTATTTATGCAAAGGTTAACCGATTTTTTGAAAAAGAAAAGGCAGAAGAAAGAGAGTTATTCCACGAACTTTCGGCTCCGTCAAAAATCACCTGGCTGTCATGTAATTTTGTCATATAGCCCTTTGAGCCTCATTTTATTAAAAAAAATCATTTTTTTCAAATTTATTTTTAATTATACATTTTCCAATAAAATAATATTATATGTACATTAAAAAAATTTCTTCATTTTAATCACATATTTTTCAAAAATCACTATTCAAAAATACATTTTTCCCTTGAGCATCAAACAAGCCTATAATCTCCTCATTAATGATAGTTAAGTAAGTAATGACACTTACACTTTAAATGCAAGTAATTAATGAGGCATGGCGGCCCCCTTATTCTTTAACATATACTTTGGTGGGCCTCAATCCACGTAGCCAGACATTAAAATCTGAATTTTAATCTGAATTTTGTAACAATTACACTAACACCTTCATTATGCTTTCCTGGGTACATATTTCGGCTCATCGTGGAGGACTTCGACAAAATTCACAAATTGGAGCATGTAAAATTGACTTTTCATTTATATGAACATGAGATTTATTATGGCATCGTAACTTAAAAACTTGAAACGGGCCATTCTCTTTCTTGTAAAACAACAAATAACGTCAAATTATAAAATTATTGTTCTTAAATGAGCGTCCCAAACGGATAAAATTTCACATTGCTTAATTATAGTCAACATATGAGAGTTTTATTTATTTTTGTTAACGAAGTTGGCCCTTCATCACAATATTCACTATTACAAGTACCTTCTTACTCATCCAATAGACAACGACTTGATCTATAACTAATTTAAAAGCTTCACACACACGAGGGTCTAATCTTATGTAATTCCTCCTTATCCACACAAAGAGTCTCTTGCCACTCATCTAACCAATGAAATGATTATTATTGAACTAGCTTGAAAAGTTTGATTTAAATTGAACTAGCTTCTGTCTGGCACCTATTCTCATCTCATTTTCATTTTTTTTCTATTTCTTCATTTCAACCACACATTCTCTCAATAAAATAATATTACATACAAATTTAAAATTTTTCATAATTTTTTCACCACACATTCTCCCATCAATTATTATTTCAAAAATTCTATTTGGGTGTCAAACGGTAATTAAGTACTTGGTCCAAGTTGCATAGCATTGCTCACATTTTTCCTAATCGTGTATGCAATTAAAAACTCAGATTGACGCAATCACGGGCATGCAAGTAGGCGGGCAGTCACTAACGCCGTCTTTACGAGCCACTAACGGCGTTTCTCTTTCTACACAATAATCATTTATTACAGCTGTCCCCTCGAAGCCTTAGGTATGGACTCAGGTTCGGAGCTTTTAAAGCTACGAAAAAGCCAAAGTAGCACAGCAACCACTCACTAAAATAATTGAGTAAAAGAAGAGAGAGGGAAAGAAAAATCAGAGTTTTAGAGAGAGAATGAGGGAGCAGAAAAATCCGGAAAAGATGCAGATCGTGAGGAGGAAAAAGAAAGGGAGGCCAGCGAAGCCGGATCCCGCGGCCCGACGTGGAGGTGACTCAGAGCCACTGGAGAGCGACCTACGCCGGAGCCTCCGGCGAAGGAATGTCAAGTACGTCTTCGATCTCGACGATTACTTTGACGACGACGAGCTATTCGAGGAAACCGATGAGGACCAGCGGCGGAGGGAGAAGAAGATCAAGCTCTTGCTCAAGCTACAGAATGACAAGGACGGCGGCTCTGAGTCGACTCCGTGGCTTGGTGCTCACTCCCCCACTGTCTCGGCCTCTGCATCCGATGGGGATAAGCCCTCGAAAAAGAGGAAAATCGACGCTCGAGATTACAGAGAAACTGGCGAAGATAAGGACGCAAATGACGACATCAATGATGATGATAATTATAGTGGTGATGATGACGAGGTATTGATTAATCGTTGTATCTAAAAAATAAAAATTCAAATAGACGAAGAAGAAACTGAAGTGATGGAGTACATACATTAATTTGTGTACTATGGATGTTTATATAAAGGGGGAAAAGAGCTCCAGCTCAGCCGAACTTCACTGGGAATTTTCTATTGGTCCAGACTTCGATACATACACGTTTGTGTATGTATAGGTTGAGTTTGATTGTTTGTCGGGGGGGGAAGTATTATGCTGAATATTGGCGTAACGGTTGGGTCAACTGTCAAAAAACTAATCCCCACAGAATCTGATCGCTCCCACCTTTCTCTCTCTTATACTCATCTCTTTCTCTCTCTATCTATAACACACCCATGTCACGTAATGTGTTGGATGTATTGTACACACGCACACGCACATATGTTGTCTGCCCTCATTTTCTGTCTCTGTCTGATTAACACCTCGGACTTTTATTTTCATAAGCTATACTCGCATTTATTGATTTATTTATGATTTCTTTCCTTTTTTAATTTAACCCCTTTTGAGGTATAATGACTTTGCTGATTTTGACAGGTTAGAGAAACAAAGATGGAGCCCAAAACCGTGCACTCACCTCCAGGCGTGCTTTTAATTTCTGGGTTTTGTTGAATGGTCACGTTTAATATTGTGAATTTAATTTGTTAATTGTTACTGTTTGTTTGATCAGGGACACCAGCAGAGACTCTGTCTGTGCTTCCATTGCCTGATAAGAAGACACTGGAGTTGATCTTAGACAAGCTTCAGAAGTATGTGGTGAATATTAGATGCATTGTTATTTTAAGGGCTTGTTTGGATCTTGAAGTGCTTTGATTTTATTTTGGACAGGAAGGATATATATGGTGTGTATGCGGAACCGGTCGATCCAGAAGAGGTAGAACGTTCTCTATGGAATTATAAAGGGTTGTACTGAGGCATTGCTTTTATGGAGTTTGTAAATTGGTTGATTGGTTATTGTGCAGCTTCCTGATTATCATGATGTGATAAAGCATCCAATGGACTTTGCCACCGTGAGGAACAAGCTGGGAAATGGAGAATATGAAACCTTGGAACAATTCGAGGTGAGTTCCCGATTTCGATTCCGATCCCGATCCCATGCCTCCTTTTCCTTCACCATGGTTGGTTGGTCTCCTTTTTCATTGTCCGGCGTGTCCAGGAGATTTTCCCCCTGTTCTTCTGGCACAGCTTTTATTGATTTTGTATTTTAGCTAAATATGTTTATTGTTCCAAATACTTGCTCCAAATGCTGGTTTCTGCCATCCTTTCACAAATGAGCTCATAGAGTTTCGCTTGACAAGATGATGAATGCCTGATGACTAGTGTTTTCGAGCTGAAAAATGGTGCTAAATCATTCATCCCAAATCTTGACTATTTACAATGAACAGAACTGGATATGTATTTCTATGTTAGGGTACAACGACGTGCTACGTTTTGTAATTTTAGTAGATTTTTGAAGCTGCAAGGTTTGAGGGTCCCACTTTGAGTGAAAACTGGGTTTAGAAGTATTTACTTTTCAAGATAAAGATGATTATGGATTAAAATCATTAAAATAACATTTTTTATGCTAAGTGTAACAGACTAAATCTTGTTTTATCCTGTGGTTCAAAGTGGGAAGCTTGAGTTTAGAAGAGTATCCTTGTTTAGTAAATTTGTCATGGAGTTTATGGTTTTATGTTGAAATTCTTAGAAATATTGTTTAGAAGTTTTGAACACAAAGTGTTGATGTAAATGAGGATTTGGCTTTTCCGGTTTTATCATTTTCTGTCTTTTTAGAAAGAAGGGCGGTATAAATATGTCAATTAGCAATGGAAACTTATCCATCAAGTAGTATTATTATCTGGATAGTTAAACTGGGCAATTGAAATTTGTAAATAAGTGGAGTGATTGGAGCTTCTCTCTGTCTTCTGAATTCTCAAACAATGGCAATGCTCTGTGGGAAACATAATTTTAACCATTTGGTTTCCTAATGGTAACTTTTCCCCAATTTTTTGTAGGTAAAGGAATATGTTTTAAGTTGTTATTTCTGGGTTCGGAATGCATAATCTTTTGTTTCTCTAATTGAATTGCTAAGACCGTGATAACAAAAATTGGTTGTTTATAATCCGCTGAAGTGTGAAATACTTGCCTTGAATCCTCGTTTTGCTCATACTGTTGGATACATGAATATATGTTTTCTGAACAGTGACATTGAGGAACAACATCAAGCGATTCCTTTTGAATTTAAGGATGTTTAGTTTTGTGATTTGTATTTGTTTTATGGTGCCTATTGATTGTAATCAAACAGAAGTTGAAGTAGCTGAAAACTTGCCTGATTTTGCTTGTTATAATGCCACCTTCTTAATGTATGTGCATGCTGTGTCTCCTAAAGAACATTAATAAAGTCTTCCTCACATTTTCCTCTTCTCTCTATATTTATTGGGGTGTGTGTCGATGGACAACTTCTGGATTTGTATGTGACACCTTCTACTTGTGTATGAATGAATGCCATACATTTTTAGCCTTTTAACTATCTTCAGGGGTATATTAGCTATCTTCAGGAGTAGGAGTCTGGCAATTATTTTTTTATGTTTCTTAGAACTGTTTGCTGATCTGCAGAGTGACGTTTTCTTGATTTGCTCAAATGCCATGCAATACAATGCTCCAGATACCATATACCATAAGCAGGTAAGGCTTACAGCCTCTATTGCTTTTTTTAGCCCCTGTTTGAGCCCCCATTATTCTCAAAATTCATTTTTTCAACCCTCATTTTTAACCATACATTCTCCAATAAAATAATTTTACACACAAACCCAAAACTTTTCCTTATTTTTCAACTACACATTCTCCAACTTCTAACTATTCCAAAATGAATTTGTCTGGTAAAATGGAGCCCAAACAGGGGCTTATTATTTTTTCCCTTCTGGTTTTGTTAAAAAATCAACTTCATTCTGTAATCATTCTGAAGGCACGCACTATCCAAGAGCTAGCGAGAAAGAAAATTCAAAAGATAAGGATAAATAATGAACGCTCAGAGAAGGAACTCAAGCCAGAACATAATACAAGTACGAGATCAAGCTCTATTTTGAAGAAGCAAATAAAGAGAACAGTGAGCCGGACAGTGCAGGAACCTCTTGGTTCCGATTTCTCATCTGGGGCCACTCTTGCAATAGGTGGAGATGTGCAGAATGTCTCAAATGCACATCAGTTTGGTGGATCGGAGAGGCCTGGTAGCATTGATGGGCTTGTTGAGGGAAATTCTTCCTTGAATGACACCACTTTAGATAAGGGAGAAGAATCACTTCTAGGTACCATATGCACCCAATATTTTATAGTACATCTGATGTGATTATTTGTGTTATGAACCAGTCCGAACTTTTGTATCTCATGCAATGTGAAAAAATAACTTCAAATGTACAACACACCTCTGTTCTTAATTTGTATTCGATAGCTGAACATCAGCAGTCATATATCCACTTCCATTGATGTTTTTCTAACTTCTAAGCCTTCTGCTTGTAGGAAAGGGTCCACTATCTAGATTTGGTAGGAAATTGGCCATACATGATGAGAACCGTCGTGCAACATATAACATATCATTAGCTCAGCCAGTAGCCGGCTCAGAATCTATATTCTCGACTTTTGAGGGGGAAATGAAGCAACTGATTCCTGTGAGTGACTTTGCAAATAAATCTTTATTCATCGTTTTACATGGCTATCTCACTCATTTCCAATTTCCCCCAATCAGGTAGGACTTTATACTGATTACTCATATGCTAGGAGTCTGGCTCGTTTTGCTGCAACTCTTGGGTCTGCTGCATGGAATGTTGCTTCACAGAGGATTGAGAAAGCACTGCCTCAAGGATTGAAATTTGGTCGTGGTTGGGTCGGAGAGTACGAGCCTCTCCCAACCCCTGTGTTAATACTGGAAAATTGTACCGTGAAGGAACCAACATTTTTTGCAAAAATAGAGCATGCTGCTGAACAAAGAAAGGTTGAGAGAAACTTCAAAACCTCAGTTTCTCCCATGGGAAACACAGTTAGCGGGCCTTTCTCAGAAAATAAATTGCCTTTATTACGTCATACTGGAGACAGACTAACTGCTATGTCTACTACCAATACTTCTGGTCCCGTCAGAGAACAGCAGGTTAGGAGGAATAGTTCCGAAGTGAAATCGTCTTTCTTTTTATCTCCTGGAATCAAACCTATTGATTCTGCTACTCTCAGTTACCAGTGTCAAAACTCGCAACTCGGGAATTTTGTTGAACCCAAGAAAAAGGATTTAAAGCAGGTTGAATTGAATAGTCCACCCTTGGCCAATCAAAACGCAGCTAATTTTACTGCTCAGAGGCAGATTCCAAAGAGTTCAGAAATGGAATCTTCCGGGTCAGTGGAGTTGGCATCCAATAACATGAATCTTTTGACATCTGGATCCTTTAAACATCCAACTACTAGTGGAATTTCTGTTGGAGTATTGCCTAATGGGAAAGTGGTCAACAGTGTGGATAGTAATATAATAGCTAGTTCACCGTCTGACATGACCAAAACAGAATCATACTATCACCATGGACAGCAGGGGCAGGGTCTTAGTGACCCAGTCCAGTTGATGAGAATGTTAGCCGAAAAGGCTCAAGATCAACAGAAACCCTCAAATCAGTTTAATGCTCCTCAAGATTCATCCCCTGCTCCATCAAGTAGATATGATTCAAATGCTGCTGGAGCTGCTGCCCGCGTATGGATGTCTGTAGGGGCAGGTGGCTTTAGACAAGCTGGGGACAGCACAAATTTACACAAGAACCAGATATCTGCAGATTCCTTGTATAACCCAACTCATGGTCTCCAGCCACAAGCATCTCGATTTCGTCCAGAGTTTTCTGCTCCTGGGATGCATTTTCAGCCTGAGAAGAACGCATCACTTCATGCCTTTGTTCCGCAAGTTCCTCAGCCTGTAAGAGTAAGCAGTGAAGCCCAGTTTCAAAATCAGCCAATGTTTTTCCCCCAGTTGGTAACTGCTGACTTGTCTAGGTTCCAGCTACAGTCTCCTTGGCAGAATCTCAGTCCACAAATGCATGCAAAACAGAAACATGAATCGCTACCTCCAGACTTGAATATTGGTTTCCAGTCACCAGGGTCTCCTGGTCGACACTCATCAGGCGTGCGGATTGATTCTCAGCAGCCTGACCTGGCTCTGCAACTCTAAGACAGCATTTTAGGCAAACTGTGAATTGTGCGTGGCAAATCATGTTAAGAGGTTACATCATAATTAATTCCATCTGAAAATTTATTTGCACATCAGGATTTGTGTTAGGCTAATTTACATGATTTATATATTTGCCCTTGCTATCAATTCAAAAGCGTCTTACTGCCTTTAGATTAGGTTTTAGAATAGCCAGAAGATGCAAAAGATGATCAGTTTGGTCAGAGTTTAATCGTTTGTAGAAAGCTTCTTGTTTGTCGTGGGATACTGATAGCGGGACAAAATCGTATGTGATTGGGAAGCTGGAGCTTTGTTGGGATGATCTTAAACGTTCGTCCTGAACAAGGATTATTGCCTGCCTGGAATTGTTGTAGCTTTTTTGATTTATTCTTCTGCTTTAGATTATGCTTATTATGAAATTTTCGATACTTAGTCCTATATGCTTGATAATTTTCTCTCTCAAAATACAATAAAATTGGTGCATGAATTCATTGAATTATGATTTCTGATTTTAGCGTCGGCTTTAGGCTAGGATCTATAAGATGGTTGAATATTGACATATTATTAGTGTTTTGCGGATTGTCTAATAGTTAATCTTCCTAGATGGGTAAGTTTTAAAAAACATAGTTTCTTATAGATTGGAGTTGCGAATTTAAGTCACTTATTTTGAGAGAGTTCAACAAATCTTAAATTAAAGTATGAATTTCATCTTTAGATTGCAAATGACAATTCTGCTTGATACAATCTGTACCAATTATAGTTTAGTGACCATCTAAAAAACTTTTTGCAGAGTTCAGTGACCTCGTAGAAATCTTTTACAAAGTTCAGTGACGAATGAATTGATTTTTAAAGTTCAGTAATGGATGGAGTTGCAGTTTCGAAAATTCAGTGACTAATCACGTAGTTTATAAAGTTTAGTGATCCGGTGGAAACTTTCGGTAAAGTTCAGTGACTATTGGGGTAATTAAGCCCTCGTTTGGCTTCCATTTTTTTTCATTACATTACATTAATTTTTTTCTCTTCGTTTCAACTATACATTCATCAAATAAAATAATAATACACACAAATCTAAAACTTTTCAACCACACATCTCCCATCAATCACTATTCTAAAAATTTTCAACCCCCTAAAAATCTACAATAATGGGGGCCAAACAGGGGCAAAATTGATATTTATGATCAACATTATGACAAGTACCCCTGTTTGGCCCTCATTAAATTACATTACATTACATTAAATTTTTCTCTCTCTTCATTACAACCACACATTCATCAAATAAAATAATATTACACACAAATATAAAACTTTTCATTACTTTTCGACCACACATTCTCCCATCAATCACTATTCCAAAAATTTTCAATATCCAAAATGGATGCCAAACAGGGGCTAACTCCCAATTATAAGATCAAACCATTAAGAAGCAATTATAGAAAATAATTACATAGTAACTATTTTTCTTTGAACTCTGTGATAATCTCTCTAGAAAATCAATTCGAGTTTGAGAACCGTAAAATAAGAAATAGAGTAGCTTTAATCTCGGATAAGACTTTCATGATAAATTTGTAAGAAAAACATAAAAGAAAACTCCTCGTCGAGGGATTGTCGTAACAAGATTTTTTTCATTGAATACCTAATTTCTTGTTTGATGAAAGAGATTCTTAATAAGAAGAAATGATCTTAATTATTAATTATTTACATTAAATATACAAAGAAACAAAGATTTCAACATTTTTGAGATGAATTACTTGAAACCAGAATGCTAAGGCTTTGTTCTCGCTCATTCTTCTTCTTCTTCTTCAACCCGACTTTTGAAGATGTCTTGGGATCATGCAAATAACACACGTCGCCTTCGCATGCATATCGACTCTTTTCTGCTTGTTCACAGAAGCAGCTCAAGATATTGAACAAAGGCATAGTCATCTTCTCCCCCCTTTGCTCTCTCTATTTCCTACGGTATTTTCATATATATATATATA